AATTCCTTCAAAATATGTCTACGATGATACAGAGAATTATTAATTATCCCAAAATAAATGTTGTCTAATAGGTATATGATTCGCGTATAAGTAACGCTATATTATCGTCATGCCCCAGAAACTGAACTGTATGTTATAACAGTTAACAGACGACGTTAATAATGACGTGACGTGTCCCGCGGGGTATAAAATTTGCAAGCCACCGCGGCTAGGCGGCTAGGCTTTTCATTGTTATGACTGAACTATTTTTGCGATGGAAAAAGAATGGAGTTACAGTTTAAAGCCTTTGTCTGTGTGTCTGTCCCAGGCTTCGTAGCTTCCAAACGGCTGGACTGGTCACAAAGGCAAATTTAAGTCAAGTCATGTCTAATCTAATCTATAATAATCTAATTTAATCTAATCTATAATCTAAAAAAAATCAACCTCAAGACTTTGCTTATCGGTTTTCTCTTAAAATAATTGTTTACCTTAGTTAAACAAAATCGTGGTAACATGAGTTTGGACTTAGTTCTAAGGTTGAATAAGAATAAAGGTTGATTTGTATTTGCTTGTTAAAATGCATTTTTATTGTATTGTTTGGCTTTTGGTTCGTTTGTATTACGAAATTAATAAAACGCTTGTTATCTTGGTAGTAGTAATACGGGAAAGTATTATTGCCCGTATTACTAATGGTAGTACCACGGACAAAAACAATTACCCGTGATAGAAAGAAAAGAAAGAAAGAAAGAAATTACATTTATTTGTTTACCACAATGACACCACAAAAGACAAAAGATAAAAAAAAGAGAAAACGGATCAAACAGAACTAAAACAAAACATTCAACGTAACGTACACGGGAGATTATTATTGCCTGTGTAACTACTAGTAGTTCTGCCGGTAGTACCACGGGCAACAAAGGAATCGGTTAAGGGAAAGTGCGCGAAACCGGATTCATCCCCTAGATTGCAACCCTTGGAGGTACAATATTTTCTTTAAATTTAAATGAGACCAACACTGGGGTACATTCTTTCTAACAAAAAAAGAATCATCAAAATCGGTTCACAAAAAATTCGCCGGAGTGTCGCATAAAATACAGTCCAATTGAGAACCTTCTCCTTTTTAAAGTCGGTTAACAACTGCCACCGCCTGCCGAACGGTTGCCATACGGGTCTGTCACGCAGAGGTCTCGATACCCGGGCAGGAAGAAATTGTAGTTATGTATGTGTGTCCATGGCACACCCGAAACGGGGTTTCCTTAGTTTGGGCCTATCAGTGGGTACATCATGATTATATTTATTATTATAATCTTTATTTCATAGGCAAGCAAATTACTCTTGAAATCATCATATCGCACTGCCATCACAATAGTGTTGTAACTCAAAATATGTGAAATTTAATATTATACTGAACGTAAAACTTGATTCTCTACACTTCAAAACAACCGTCGTTGGAATATTGTAAGAAACAATCAAATACATCTACTTAACTTAGAATGAGACACACTTTATGTGAGCTAGTTCTGGCCAAAATAATCCTTATTGAAAAACATGAAATAATTTTTTCCATTTTATTGTTAAATATATTTGATGAATTGTTTAAGTGTCTATAATAAACTATAACATATAAATTTTAATGATTTTTTTGCGGGAAGTGAGTAATTAGTTTTTCATCGATCCTGAGAAAGTCCTCTTTTTGAGTTACAACACTATTGTAATCGCAGTGCGATATATATTAAACTCTACTACAGATTCCTCTGAGAATAATGAATAAGAAACTCTAGGGGCTGCTTTTTGTAAATAAACATTTGTACACATTTATGTTTACTTTACATCATTTTTTTAATAATATCAAATAACGGAACGAACAAGTTGTTAGCCTGGTTCGATTCCCGGACCGGGAGAAGTATTTGTATGACCTACATTTATATCTCTCGTGAGTTTGGGTGTAATTTGTGGTTGTCTACCTATGTGTGTGTCCATGGCACCCGCGACACAGGATTTCCCTAGTGCGAGGCTGTGAGTGTCAAAAAACAATGATCATAGATCGAGGTTTGTTTCCTGGTTTCTTAATGCATCTTGTCAGTTTATCGAATTACAAATGGCTCCTAACACGAGCAAACGTCATCTAAGCCATTAAAATGATAGAAACAGCGCATAAAATCAAACTTTAGCAATAACGTGTAATAAGTGGAAATTATTCAAACGTGTTATCAAGCTCGCAAATTGTTTCAGTGCGCATCTAGGCGGGATAGTTTTCAAATTCCCCGTTACTAAAGTCGAGACAGGCGCGGACTAAGGCGTACATAATTGTATTAAGAACGGCGACCAGTTTTCAAGGCTCAGTTGTTGTGTCCAGACTCTCTAATAATACTTTAGAAGATCATTTTCAAATTCATTAGTTTTGTTTACTTAAATGTAGACACAGTAACATCCCGGTCGTGTGGATTGCGGGAACGATATTTTGCAGGATGAACGTATTTCAATACCGGTATTCACAGGAGCATCTCGTTTACAGGATTCTATAACATTCGCTAATAAACAGGATACTGCAAAAAACCATTATAACAACTCAACATCAACCTGCAATTATAATCGAGTGTTCTATTTTAATTTTTGTCTTGTTGCTGTCGCGGCAACCGGCGACTAGTGATGGGATATTCTCGAGAATATTCTGACAGCGGAAACTTTGCTGTTAAGTTCTCGAGAACATTCTTTTTTAAGAGAATTTACGAGAATTTAAAAAATGAGTGACTTTCTTATCTTGGGTTTGAATGAGGCTAATAATTAAAATTAATAATTAATAATTTAAGTAAAATGCGCGCGTGCGCTATTTTGTCGTCTCCAATCCAATTCGACGGCCTCTGTGGTCGAGTGGCTTGCACACCGGTTTTCATGGTGTCGCCATCTCTGACGTCCCGGGTTCGATCCTCGGCCGAGTCAATGTAGACAACTAACTATTCTATATTGTCACGGGTCTGGGCGTTTGTGATACCGTCGTTGTTTCCGATTTCCATAACGCAAGTGCTTTAGCTACTTACTTTGGGAATAGAGCAACGTATGTGGTGTTGTTGTCTAATTGTAGAGAGTTGCCAAGAAATAACTTATAAACTTACTAATTTTACATCATAAAGTGATAATTATCTATGAAAACATAAATAACGAACGCAAAACCAATACAAACAAAATGGGTACAAGGACACTGGTTCAAGAACCGGCAAACGATACGTATCGCGCAGCGCTACTTTCTACATTTGTGCTGGAAGCGTCACATCACAGAAACCCAACCGCCTTAAGTTGTTAACGAGTCTGGCTGGTGTTAACCCGTTTTCGAACAAAACCATAGATATTATTTCATTGGAGGCCACACCCTTATCGTACAGTTCCGACGTTGCTCTTTTATTTATTTATTTATCTTTATTTATCCCTTATAACATAAATAGAACACTTACAGTTTGCTTATTCTGTTTGTTAGTATTCTCTTAATTTACAGTTAGTAGTGCTATGTGTAAGGGCCGCCTTAAGCGATGTGAGCCTCCTCCGACTTCTTCCAACAGACTTTGTCTTGTTCCAGCCTTGGTTATAGCGTTTCTGCTATCTCTGGCCTTACTTGTCTTCCTTCCTTATAAAGCGGGTACCAAGCAGTAATGTCAGCATTACTGTGTTCCAGCTTTGAAGGATAAGGGTGTTGGTGAAAGTACAGGCACATGGGACTTGTAAATTGATGTCTCATGGTGACGGGTACAGTGGCAGTACCCGTTAGATCTTTGCGATTTAAAGCTCTGAGTGACACTGCAACTGTTATGGACAGGCGTGCAGCTTACCATAGGTGCACGATCCCGTCATGAAATAAAATATATAAAAAATATAATAAAAAAAGTCATGACTGTCTGCAATTCTTTGAATATCCATCCCATTTACATAACAGATACATGCGCAGGTACTTTTCAATTTGGTTCTACACTCACCGTTCCTCCTTCGGTTGATTAGAAGGTCCGGAACACTCCATCCTTGTGTCGTTGATATACCACCCATTCGCACAAAGTGTTTTGCTTCCTTCTTTCTGATGTGTACGGCAAAGGATTGGAATCTGTGTTTCCCGAAAAGTACAATTTGGGGCTATTCAAGGCTGGACTGAATAGGCAAGCGTGTGTCTATTATTTATAAAATAAAAATTTTGAGTTCACTCCCGCGTTATAACATCTCTTGTCTTTGTCGTTTTCTCACAGTTGAGCTTTTAATGCGGTCTTTGTCCTCAATTATTATTACTCATCAAATAAATTCGATAGCGTTCTGCAATTAAAAAACGCAACCCTGAATACAATTCTGTGTCCACGGAGCTACCTCGAATATACTCACACGCGAACGCTATACGATGGCGGTGTTCATTAAAACGCCAGGTGTTGCCAACATTTATTATTTACAAAGTTATTTGTAATTTTACACAGTAACAACACGACACGATATTTTTTAATGTTACGATTTAACAGGTAAGTAATATGTGTGGGATTGGTAGGATGCTTAGTTCCAAATACTTAACATCGTGGGCCGCAACGATTCCAACCGTTGACCTGTCAACCGCTCTCCCACTGGGCGGTGGTACTGCTCTTACTACCTATGTCCGGTAATTGTTTGAAATCTTCCTATTACAATTTATTTATCGGCATGAAAATTGAAAATAATGATAGCCAACATACAGGCGCACCTAAAATAAATAATGTTGTACAGTCTAGAGCATATCAGGCTTCATACTTTGGAACCTGTACTGTTCTTATCGGTACCGACATAGAGTTAAATTTAAGCGTGAAACACACATAGAACGGGAGTGGGTCGGGTCAGGACCACGGGCAAGTGCCCGTCCGGCGCCCGCACTCGGTTTCTTGTCGTCCTTATAAATTACACGGAATTAGACCCGCCGTGGTCCCGACCCGACCCGCGCCCGTCCCGCACCCGCTGTTTCACGCTTAAGTGACTCTGACCCTGTAGGCAATGCTTTACCAGTGTACAATTCACTTTTTTCTCAGCATCCCCACCCCAATCGTTTCAAGAGCGTCGCCTTGCTATAGTAGAAGGAGCAGCATGGGTAATGGTGCGTGTTGGGGCAGGCGAGGCGGAAGCCAAGCTCATGTTGGGGGCGAGGGTCAACGGGTGCAGCGCTCCGTCGTACACCAGCAAAGTTCCGCTGACACATCCGTTGGCTTTGCTGCATTATACATCAGCTCAAAAGGTAAGTCACCAATCCGTATTAATTCCCTAAAGAAGATGCACTTGTAAATGACAAGAAAATGAAGTGAAGTTATTTATTGTCCGACCGAAAGAAGCCTTCTTCTTAATACGATTGTATTTTTTTATTGTTGATTGTATGTTACTCGATCATTCCGACCTTTGCGAAGCGATATCGATGATTCGTTTATTTGTTGGAAAGAGGGCATCTCAGTAGTATTACATAAATAGGCAAAAAAACATAACGCTCTGGCATCCCGCTGACGACCACCGGTCCAGCCGAGCTACTGCTTCAGCCAGTTGCTACGATAAATATTGCATCGTGTCATTTGATTTTAGATTGTAACACCATTTTCTTTTTATCGAAAACGTGTTTTTCTGCACAATTTCATGATTGATTATTCCTTTACAGGGTTACTACGCTGTAGCGGTTGGTACACCATCGTCAATAGTCTGCGCAGAACGAGCTTCCACTTGGCAACTCTGGCATCCAGCTTTGGAGGCCAATTTGGACGCTCACACTTCAGAAATGTCTACGGTAGCTAGAATAGCTGGAGCCTTGAACGCCTTGCTTGACCGGATGAGGGAGGGAGGTTATCAGGTAAGTGGTGAAATGTTCATTACATAATACGAACTACAATATTAAGGTCATTGAATATCACAACGTTTTACTGCCAGGATCGTAGGAATTTTTCTAATTGTTCGATCTTTGTATTAATAACTGTAACAAACTAGTGGAGTAATTTCACAAAAAAGATTGAATATCGTAAATATGTATAGTAGTAAAGGTTGATATTGAAAAAAATTAATATTACAATGAATAACGCGACATTTCTAATCAGCCTCTGGTATCTGGCTGAGTCAAGAAAAACTTTCATAGATTTCACAGATGGCGGCAGAAAGTTGTTAAAAAACAAAAACAAAATTCTGCAACAAGCACATAGAAATTTAGTAAGGTTTACTGGTTCGTTCCGAAGCTCAGTTGAGTGGGCGTCAGGAACGGTATGCTGAAGGTGCTGGTTTGAACACAGCCCGTTCGAAGGAATTTTCTTAGTTTTCGATAGATAATACTGATTAATAATTATATAAACTATAAGTTTAGAATCGCACGAAAAATGCTATGATCTAAGAAGTATGTCAACTGGTTCGACTTTTGGTATACCAAAAAAATTTCGATGTTAGTGCAGTCCCTGTTAATAAAAATGGAAGTAAATAATCTCAGTACAGAGTACTAAAAAAAACCGACCTCAAAAGTACGTGGAATTACGTATATTTGCTAAATTTTATTGAAATATCCCCTAGTTCGCCACTATACAGGACTTGACACTGGAGATAATAAAAATAGGTTCTCACTACGACACTACTCAAAGTATATTCAGAGAAAAAAGCCTTGAATTGGAGAAATAGCAAAATCAACCATTAAAGTAATTGCTCCTAAATTAATGTTAGGCGCTATTTATGAAAATGAATCTTCATGCGTGAACAGCCACCCTTAGAGGTGGACGATTTTCTTCAAAATGAAATGGGACCACTATGGAAGTACCCCCTTTCCAACAAAAAAAGAATCATGAAAATCGGTTCACAAATACCGGAGTTATCGCGTAACATACATACAAAAAAAAGGGAAAAAAAAGAACATACAGACGAATTGAGAACCTCCTCCTTTTTTGAAGTCGGTTAATTGATTTTTTCTCCGCCAACTCGTTGAAGGTTAAATCGTGTAAAGTCGCTGCGATTGTGATGAATACTTTTTCATGCAGTTAATATTTCCACCGCGTAAAATAATAAAATAAATAAAACAAGCGTAACTACAGTCACAGACACCATCACCAAAAACATAACCGACATGTGTTTCGCCTCTCTACGACGCATCCTCGGGGGTTGTTGATTGTTCCACGCTAGGCCCAAGAATTAGAATTAGTAATGTCTTCAGAAATAACAAGTAACAGAAAAATATTGAATCTGAAATTAGATTTTGACAAAATCCTCTGAGTATCAAGAAATTCACCGTTAAGCGTTAAGCAAACTTTATTGCGGCGGTCTTTTTAATGTTCTAAAGTTATACCATTAAAAATAAAATTGTGACAATTTTTTTCCTGAAACAGGAAGTCTGATATTCGGACCTGACTTTTTTATGCATGAAGAACTCATTGAAATTGCTCTTCTGATGTAATCCGCTTAGGAGACTTTACGTGAAAAAGGTTAAATTAATTATAGCATTTTCAGTTTTAAACTGGAAAAAATTACCATTTTCTGAACGCCTTTTGCTTTTTGATGTCCGTAAAGCAGCAAACCGATATAAACGTATTATTTTAGGAAGTTTGAATGTTCAAAGAGTCTAATTTTAAGTCGAACACAGTTTGAGTGGTGGGTTAATTTACTTATTTCTGTATCATCAAACGGAAATTGAATTCCAGCATATTCTGGTGCATTTGTTTATTGTGTCATCTGTTTGGTGAACCTGACTTTTTAACATTTTAAACTTTAATCAAAAGGGCACTCTCCGAGTCCTCAGTCGGTACGCAGCTAGCTGTGCCTTCCGTCGGCGCCTCGATAGATGTGCTGTCTACTCGCAGCCAGCCGCGAGGTGCTGTGTCTCTTCGCATGCTTCTCATCATTTGCTCCTGATTTTGGATTCGTAAGTATATTCTCATACCGGAAGATTTCTAGATTTTTGTTTACCCTATGGTGTGCCTAATTTTACTCATAATTCTACTTTAATTTAAATATTTCCCATTTAAAAACCGTCCTTCGTAGGATGAACAAAACGTCTTTTTAAGAAATTTACTTACAGGTTACTCTATCTCTGTGAAAAAGGAGGTATGGCAGGGTACATTTATCCAGTAGAGAGAAGTTCAGTTGTACGACGGGGAAGCAGAGATTCTGATTGGTCGACAGACGCTGCCTGTATCAGGTGTTGTCTGACCCATTTACATCAAGCTGCAGGTAAGTTGGTGCTACTGACGTGCTAAAATCCGCGTCTTCTAGTTGTCAAAACTGCAAGATCCAAAATGAAATAATGTATATTTTCTAGGCGAGGATTTACCTCTAAGTCCATCAGAATCTCTCGAAGGAGCTCTTTTCAACAAATGGGAGAACCTGAACCGCGAGGCTAAGGCATCTATGGCTAGTACCCCGAACTACAGTCGAAGACAGCTCAAGTACTTGTGGCGGGTGGCTAGTGAGCTGGTTACGTGCAAGAGTTTGGTAGCTGTGGTAAGTGTTATCACATTATAATCGAAGTGCCCATTCAGGCCTTGGACCCACTAGGTTATTGGGTTGCTTGTGATCCCAAATTTGGTTGGCCTCTGATCTCACAAGATGGTAACTAGTCTCATCAAATTGGAAATACGATATTATGGATCGAATGTAGTCCGATTCCGGAGGTACTAACAGTTTTGTTATATTTAATATTAGTACCTAAATCACGTTTATTATCTGTGATTGAGCACAATTCTAGAATCTATTCTAAATTTATTTAGAATAGATTCTTGATTCTTAGAAGTCTTGCGACTCATTATTTTAACCGAAATACGTTACTTTCATCTACATGACAATAAAGGTACATGAACTTTTGAAAAGAATCTTATGTAATACACAATATAATAATAATAATAATGCACACACTCAACATAGCCCCGCACTAGGGAAACTCTGTGTCGCGGGTGCCATGGACACACATAGACAACCACAAATTACACCCAAACTCACGAGAGAAATAAATGTAGGCCATACACATATTTCTCCCGGCCTGGGAATCGAACCCAGGACCTATGCATGGTACATAGTAACAGGTGACGAAACATGGATTTATAGTTACGACCCCAAAACAAAACAGCGATCGAGCGTATGGGTCTTTCGAAATGAGCCGAAACCAACCAAAGTGATGCGCGTGCAAAGTGCCTCTAAGCGGATGATTGCTTCTTTTTTAAATAAAACCGTTCGGCCACGGAGCCAGTCAAACACAAAGCGTTCGTGATAAAGGGGGCGATAATAATATTTAGTTGTGGTTCAAATTGAATTGAAAATATCTTCTTTATCTGTAGTTCTTAGGTTTTACGATTTCTACACATTGTATATGAAACTATGTTTTCGGGTCCAAAATCGCGTATCATTAATTTTTCAAATAAACCAACTGTTTGGGGCACGTTACAGAAACAACTCGAGGCCTCTAGTGGCATACGTGACGACCACGAAGTTGAAATATGAGTAAAACAATGAAAGTAAAACAATAACTGTTAAAATTATGAACTTGAGTACCGCAGTTTGATCGCTTCATAATTCGATAGTAAATATTCATTTAATAAAATAATTACAATAAAGTGTGTTGACTATTTAAAGCTTTATTGGCTATATCTTTAAGTAGTCTGACTTTACAAAGAACTTGTAAGATTTGATCATTTGTTTGGTCGATTTTTCGCCACGCGGCCAAAACTCGGATATGGTCTACGCTGGGGCTTACTATTTTAGTCACCTGCAGTGTAGTCGAAATTGCCATTTAGATGGTCTATTTTTGCCGTACGGCGATAGTTAATCTTGTAAGCCCCGCATAATATTCGAGATTTTAGATTCTAAGAAATAGTTTAACAGAGTCTACCATACATTTTAATAAAAGTAGTGGAAAATAATTGCCTAAACCACTCAATGACACGTTTCAATGAAAAGCTACATTTGTATATCCAAGTTTTCCTCACTCGGTGGGCCGTCGGGAATTCTTGCGAGTTCGAAAAGTGGTACACAACTGTGGATTCAAGTTTTGCATTGCAACCGACTGTTTTCAAAGTTACTTTCGAGCAATTCATCTACAGTTTGCGGTGCTTTTTGTGGAATTTGTGTTTTACAGTAATATCATTTTCATATTATTTTTTAAGCTTCAAATTTACTCAGCATGTTTATTTAGTTCTTTTAGCTATGCTGTGGGATTTATAATATTTTTAGCATTCATATATTAGAGGCCAATTAAACCAGATAAAAGCGTAGATGCATAAAAAGAAATGCAATGGCTTCCACATTTTTTGTTTCTCTAAGTAGTGTAGTAGCATCAAGTATGAAGTCAACAGCAATATCATAAAATAATGTTCAACATCTTCTTGTTCAGGAAAACCACAGTAACTTCAAAGCAAACCTGATCCAGGTGACCTCCCTGAACCAAGAGGCAATAGAAGATCTCATCCACATATTGGCCATCATGCTGGATCAAGCGAGAGACGTGTATCTGAACAACTTTCAAGCCGTGCTGGGAGATTTTAATAGAGAATTGTCTACTTATAGGTGAGACTGTTTTGATGGTCATCTTTTACACATTAAAAACGGGTGATTTTAAAGAATCTATTAATGAAAAAGAAAAGAAAAAACCATCTTTTGGTTATTAGTCATATTATTATAAAGTATTTCAGATTTTTTACTTTTAATCTTCTTGCATATTTTATCAATAACACAAAAACTATGCAACATAGATTATGTGGTTTGGAATGTGTAAAGATAGTCATCTTAAAGGATACCTTACTAGACTAGTTGTTTCACATTCAGATTCAGAGTTCGATACAACATTTAGCCCATTTTTTTTTAAATTTCTTTCGTTTTCGATACATGCGAGAAGACAAATTGTACAACTATGTTTCTTGAAGTTGGTAACAGCAGCAATTTATGAGAAGAAGTCATGATATGTAGACGGATTCCAAAGTGATATGAGTTCCATTTTTAATGTCGGGTCTTGAAAATGGCGTTTAAAAACAATTTGATTATTTACAAGGAAAGTATACTTATAGTGACGGGACAAACAAGTCGTGCGCCTGATGGTAAGCTATACGCCTGTCCATAATGAGGGGTACCGTCAGCCTGAGACATAAGTTGACAAGTCACATGTATCTGTAATTTCACCAGCGTATTAGATATTTAAAATGACTGTAGTCCGTTCCTATTAGAAGTTAGCAGAAGTTTGGTTTTTGCTGACCTCGTAAGAATTGACTCTTGCGTATGGAATATGAAATTTTATGTTACGGATTCTGCACAGGTCAAAGAAATGGAACAAGCTAAAGGACTATTACGATGCATCGTCATCTTGCCTCATCGATGCAGTCCGCCGGGACCCTGACCTACGCAAGGAAGATCTGTTGGACGAGTTGAATATCATGAAATATATACTGCATTGGCTTCATAAGGTGAACTATATGATTTATCATTCAGAGTGTTTTTTGTGAATAGTGTTTTTAGATTTCGCAAAAGCCTTTGACTTTGTGTTTTTCTTTATACTTTAAACAAATTTTGAAATCTTTGCAAATAAGAAAAGCACTTAACTGGTTTTAAAGTTATCTTTCAAATAATATGTTGAGCATATGCAAAAGGAATTTAAAAGTAATCGTAACGATATAACCTTTTGTGTTCCGCAAGGCAGTCTCCTAAGGCCAACCCTTTTCATATTATAACATTAAAGCTTTTAATAGTAACGTGTACCTTCATGCCTGTATATACAACTACCTTAACGTATAACATTATAATTAAATTAATTTTCTTTAAGGGGGCGAAAGAAGACAAGAAGTACTTAGGTCCAGTGTTGAAGCCATACTTAGATGGTTTATTTGCTAGCTCGATGGAGAATGGCTGGTTTCTAGATGAGTTTGACGCCAAAAGGTGTGCGAATGAATTTGAAGGTAAGTTTGTAAAACAACTTCGTATGGGTTTAAAATTATAGATAAATAATTTAAACGTATATTTAAATATTAATAAAACATATATTAAAAACGTTTTCAACAAAGTTTAAGTAACGTTTTTGTTTTCGGAATCCGAGATACTGGAGGAAAATTTTATTCAATAGCTGGTATTACTCCCGAATAATATGTATTGAATCAGAAAATAAGCCTTTATCTCTGTGCCGTTTTGTGCGGCCCCATCCAGATTCATATCTTTGAGATCATCGTGAGTGTAAGATAGTTTTCGAAACCCACGTTTAATGCATGAATTAATAAAGTTTATTTTCATAATGTTACGCTAACGCTATTGTAAACAGGTCTAAAAGAATACTGCACGGGAGTTCATGACAACAGCATAGAGCCTTGCATGGGTCTGTTAGATGCTGCCAAGAAACTTGCCTGGGCCAAAGCATTGGTGGACTTCATTGACCGGTTTCGGCATATTGGTGAGTTTAGTGTAGTTGGTCTTGTTTAGCCAAGATTAAGGCTCTTTTTTATGTTCCAGCAAGTGTTTTGGAATAACGAAATCCAGGCGATAAGGCCACAATTTCTTCGTATTTGGATTTCTGTCATTTTCAAGGACGTTATTTTTAATAAAATGTACATTTTAAAACTTTTCCCTCTGAATAATGCAGGCAAGCACTAAATTTGCAACTAGAACATCAGATTTAATTCTGTACATAATCTAATCTGCGCGTACAATGTTCCAAGTATTACTCCCAATGGTCTTATTTGTTTTAAAATTAACGCGAGTTAGAATTTTAGATAAAGGTTTACTTCGTTATGTTGTTATGTTTTATTGGGTGATTTCCAGACAATGTCCTCTTTGGACTGAAGTATAAAATTATACAAATTATCAAAATTTCGAGAACAAAACGGAATTCTTAAAACTTCTTCATAAATAAAATCGATTGTTATGAGAAATCAAACCGGTAACGCATTAGGATTATATAGTTGGACGGACTATAACAACGTCACGTAGTACCTACACTGATTTCCAGCTATGGGGGTATCGACCATCCACTATCACAATGAAATTCGAATCACTACCAATCTCCATAGCTCACGGAACTTTCCACGGAATGAAATGTTTTTCCCTCGTCAGTGCGGACACTTTATTAAAACGAATATAGTGCATAGAATTCCAATGCAATGAATGTTCCGTCACTGCATAACCCGGATTGTCTCGGTGCTTCATACTACGTATGTGTTCTGTCAATCTGGTAGTTATATTACGGCCGGTCTCTCCTATGTAAATCTTGTCACAGGAGCAGGGAATGAAAGCGGAGTTCCCGGGATATTTATGATTCCCGACCCATGTGGCAAGAATTACATATGAGATATGGAGTTCCCAGGGTATGTAAGATTCCTACCCCCTGAGGCAACAATAAATTATAAATTTTTCGAGTGTCGAACAACGTTGTGTTTGTGACTGTAGTTGAGCTTGTGTTATTTATTTTGTTAAGCTTATACGGTGGGAGGTTGGTAAAATTCATTGAAAGAAAAAAAATTCAACACAAGCGCAGCTATTATACATAATTTCATTAAGAAAGAAGATGTCCATAATATTAATCTTAGAGCTAAGGTCAAACTCATGGTACCACGATTTCGTTTAACTAAGGTACATGACTCAAGCACAACCCCAAGTTTAAAACCTAGTTTAAAAACATTTTAATTGAAAAGTCCTATTACAAAATTGAAGACTACGTGTTAGATTAAGATGGAAAGACGACACTGCTCCAGAATCCACACAAATTTGATTCAAAGTGTATTTCCATAGCATTTAAGTTTATTTGAAAAGAGCAATCCCTAGAGTTTCTTGCTCGTTCTTCTCAGGGAGGTCAGCGTAGTGAACGAGCAGTAGCTTAAAAGTGACGTTTTCAAGTGTAAATTTATTTAATCTATGGAATAAATGACTATTTGACGTTGGCTTTGCTATAGTGCACGATGTAATTTTCACTGAGTTCGCGGAGTAGCAAATGAATGTAGTCCCAAAATGGAACAAAATGGACTAAGAACAATGTTTCGTTTGTCCGAAATCCATTAGTGGAGAAACAAAACCCGTGAATTATACAAGTGATGAAAAAGAAATGTCAAGAGCAGAACATTTAATTAAACGCACGGCTGACAGTAGCAGGAAAATGAGAATGACAGCGGCTGTCAGAGACATGTGGCTCTGCCTGCGAAATGGGGTTTTATAATTATCTAATGGATTTCGGATGGATGTTTGGAAATGTGATTGAGGTAAAATTTCTTGATGGTTGCATGTATTCATGAATACCTATATCACCGTACAAACCCTCATCTTAGGATTTTTATTATCGCTACCTTTTCACATTTACTTTTGTTTTATTTATGTACTGTATCTTAATTTTGATCATCTCTTAAAAATTGTAGTAATTTAATTTAATTTAGATTATTTGATTTCATTTAATCCTTTTTTACTGTGGATTTATTGTACAGAACCTAGTTTAAGTAAAACTGAGTTTAATCCAACTGTAATACACTTCACGGAATGGTGAACTGTACAGGCATTTTGTGCCTATCTTAGGCACCAGTTTCTCGCAAATAAGGGTTAATGTTAAACTCACTAAGCAGTAAGCGTTTACATAATTTACCTTGTATGTTGAGAGAAATAAGTAAATAAATATTAATTAATTAAGTAACACCGTCCATCCATATAGATGGATGAATTTATATAGATGGATGAATTTATATAGATAAATTGCAGCAATACCTCATAGAAATATTAATGGTAAAAGTCTTCAAAAAATTTTTAAAAAACAAAAACCCGGCCGCAAAAATATTTTGCTGGAAAGATAAAAAACTATTCCCCCTCACTATTTTGATTATTTTTTATCGAATGACACCTCATATGTCAAAATCCATCAATACGCATTGGGTAAAAATTTACATAAAAATATGATTAAAATTTAAAATGCCACTAATGCTCTGCCCACACAGAGGTGCACCCGGAACGCTTTCGTGGCCGCCTCTGTGTGGCCTGAGCTTAAGCTAAACAGCGTATTTCAAGAAGTTAACAAAGTCAACATTTGTAAGCCAACTTCTCGTCGAGGCCAATTCAATGTGCCCAAACACGATTGTGCTGCTGTAAGTAGCTGAGGAGTTGACCGGAATGCAGACTGTTCTGTTTACAGGTCCTGGGTACCGTATTATCGTAATGTCGTATTCTGCCGCCGTTACTTGAAAGGTCGCATGTGATATTTCTTCAAAAAAATTAGTTACATGTTCTACCGTGAATTAGCAAAAAAAGACGAATCTGCTACAATATTTTATTTCTTTTTACTCGCCGTGTATAACGAAAAAAAAGAAAAGAATCCCCTTTAAAGTCAAACTAATGCTTTACAACTCGTTAGCAGAATCGTATATTCAGTATGGTTTATGTAGCTACGGTCGTACCTTTAACTCATACTTAAATAAAATATATAACCTACAAGTTAATATTCTAAGACACATTGTATCAAATAAAATCCGACTTCAAATGAAGGATAATGATATTGGTCTTTTTAAACATTGTAGAATCTTACCTGTTTATACCCAATTTAAGTATATGTTTTTAAAATCTATGTTTTTTAACAACGATCTTAAACAAGTAATAAATCACCCCGTGTGTACGCGAGCGATGGCTGAGGACCGGTTGCTAACGAGTCGCGCGAATAATGTGTACGGCGAAAGAACATCTACCTTCCTTCTTCCCCGACTTATTAATAAGTTACCACTGGAACTACGAAATACCTTAACAACCATTAATATAAAACATAAACTTAAAGATTACTTGTACAAAACTTAAAAAAATGTGATGAACATTTAATATAATAAGATGAATGTATTTACCCAATCCTATTAATTTTAGTAACATATATGTATATTATAGATTATTTATACAAATTACTTAAATATTTACACTTAAATATAAACTTCTGCTAGCATGTTCAAATTTATATTGTGTAGATACAGGTCGCATTATGACAAACCTTAGTGGTTTAAAATGCGATTAGAAACATATTTGTGTATTTTGTCCTATATACAATAAATAAATTAAAAAGAAAAAAAAAACAACACACGGCGACTGTCAACAGCGATGCAAACTCGCGTTCGTGAAACGTTATTTATTATTGTTTATTATTACAGTATTTTGTTTTGCTTGGCTGTTGTAGTGGTAATAGGTAGATGTCATCATTAGACAAAACAATACAGAGTACTAAAAAAACCGATCTCAAAGTCCTTCATCCCCTAGTTTGCTACCTTAGAGGTGGAATATTTTCTTTAAATTTAAATGGGACCACATCCGAGATACCCTCTTTCCAACAAAACAAGAATCAGCGAAATCGGTTCACAAATTTTAGGAGTTATCGCGTTACATACAAAAAATACAACCGCATTAAGAACCTCCTCCGTTTTTTGAAGTCTGTTAAAAATAGAGCACGAAGTCAACTACGTTACAGAGAACACCACTTGCGCTCCCAAACAGTAATTCTTTAAAAGCTTTAGCGTCCCATCAATTTGTTGCCTCGTCTAGCGGATCACGATGTTCGGTAGGAGGTGTGTACGACGATAGAAGACGTAAACGTACGTTCGTATCGTGCACTAACTATTCAAGCATAAAAAGCTACACGTAGGAAATAAAACTTTTTTTCGAATCTAAGAGTTTACTTTACTTAAAAATCACAGTGATCAGCCATTGAATAGTATCACCGTGACTTTTTACAAAGTAACGACGTTCCAAAATCACATAGGTTGTTCTTCCGTTCCACTAAGTGTCTCCATCACTCACTGTTTTATTAACACAATCATGCGCCTTCTCCGTGTTCTAGAGACTGGCGACTGCGTTACTCATTGTAGAGTTCTCTTATATTTTGAATTCTATTATGAACGAAGAAATAATTAGATCAATGTGAATACCGTATAAATATTGTAAATACAAATACGATAATTGTACAAAATTGATCCAAAATATATAATTAAACTTAACGATTATTAGGCTTGCCAAAACCGTATATCGTGATGAAAGTGACAGGTGTAACAAAATCACGGTGATTTGTCATTGTGATTTTTTTGTAATTGGAACGATAGTCACGGTAATAGAAATGTAACGCTTTTCCCCATGTCTATTGCATCGATGCAAACGCGCTGCATCAATACAAAAGCGCGTTTGTATCGATGCAGTCGCGCGGTTGCATCGCGTTTGCATCGCTGCTGAAGGTAACCGTTCTCTGATGGGCGCAAGTAACCACTTATGCGATGTCACAGACAGACATACGGACAAAGGCTTCAAACCTTTTTGCTTCGGAGGTTAAAAACGAACAACACTACATAATATTAACATATCTACTGCTCGAATATCTCCCTTCAAAGGGATGCCTATAAATCTCAGGGCATAACTTAGGATTTATGTTCGAGATAAAAGTTTGCCTGGAACACTCGACGACGAAAATGGGTCGTATAAATTGGTTTCAGTATATGCTGTGGCACGACGTATAAGTAACTTGAGACACAGATGGTCAGAATCCTCAGCGATTATAGGATTATAGGAACAACTGGAGAAGTATGTTAAAAAGAGAAACAAAGCGGACGTAATGCAGAAATGCTTTTATTACCAAGTTTCATTATTTGGTGATTTAGTTAAACGTAATGTAAAATTTTACGACACGAATAAAGTCCGGCGCGCAAAAAGGATTAATCCATGAAATGAACAGTGAAAGTTGTTTTCGGAAAATCAATGTCAACTTATTAAAATGTTTTATGCAATCGTTGCATAATGCGGATTCTTAAAACCGAGTAGCGTGTTTAGGCCACGAGATATTGACGATTTTAAGGCCTAATTATGTAATGTTTGCGTAAATAAAACAACAAAACACACAACCAATATTTAATGTACATTTTATTAATAATCCATGGCACATAATAAAACTAAAACCAAATAAATGCTGTAAAATAAAAAAACCAAAGAGATAGAACAGAAGGGACCAAGTACAGCTTACATTTTAACCAATATTTTTTTATAAAGTTTTATGGCCCAGTTGTTAAGATCTTTAGGTCAATCTAACCAATCAGTAAGCAGTAGAGCGTTTGAGTACCTACTGTCATATTTGATATTTTAATTGCATTGACTTACAAATAAATGGACGACGGGTCTAATACAAAAACCGCGAAAAAAATGTCCCAAGTCAACCTATTTAAACGTAGTGACATGTAAAGGAATATGAAAAAGCTAAAACGTTAGATTTAAATTGTAATGTCATCGCAGTACTGTCTAATTTTGCTTGCCTCGCTGTCAGTCGAACAAACGAAGACTACAGCGTGAATGACGCTCTGTATACGATTTTAACGCCCTATAAGTTCGGACACTTTTTAGCGCGGACCCGACGTCCATATAATTGTAAGTCAATGTTTAATTGGCAAAATACGACGTTCTTTTCAGTTCAGTAGCGAGTACCATAGCCAAAATAAAATTGATCCAGAACTAAAAACACCGCATTTGTGATATGGTTTGTGAAATTATAATTAACTTAAAAAGATTAAAAACACAGGAGTAGAAACAAAAGTTTAAAGTACGTAATATTCGAAGCAACCAACCTGACTTCGTCCTTGTTACTTTAGAAGACTCTGTTGTTTAAAAGTGTACACTTCTCCGCGAACACTCAGATAAATAGAATTTTTAACAAGCTACGCTGTTTTATACGAGGCTAACTCGTTCGTTCGCTACGTATTTCACTGTTATTTTAAATAAAAAATTTGTTAGAGTCGTCTTAGGAAGCATAAACGTTGTTGGCGCGACGAGGAGTTAACATTTCAATTTCATAATATAGCATCAATTAACAAAGAAGAAAAAAGGCCCGTTTTATTTGGGGAATTATAGTCAAGTTAGCCTGCATGCAATCATGAATACTATTAACGTGCAAGTATGTTACGAACCTCGACTCTTAAAGCCCTCAGTCTTCGACTTCGGGCTTCTAATAGACTCTCGTTCGTAATCCTTATTTACGGCCCCTTAATACACAATGTACTATAACTAAACTGTCTTTTATAACAAGTTTCGAGACGAGGAAAGTTCCTGTGAAACGAATCTCGCAGACTCAAACAAAACTGATTTCTAACCACAAACGTGTCAGCTTTAAAGTTCCGCATTCGTTAGCGTGAGCTTAATGTAGCTGTAGATAGAAATGAAATTCCAACTAGAGATATTATTAAGTTTGTTATCGGGATACTGTTTGTACTGTACAGATGACGACGGCTGCTGGACGTTCAGTTGTATTTACATTTTTCGTATTTGTATAATATGCTTGTCTAATGCATCGAAAAATAATAGATATTGTACATTGGAAACGAAACAATTTTTTTCGGAAATAAATCGCGTATATTTGTTTATTCAAAGAAACCAACGATACGGGCCCTTTTCCAGGTCCCATGATCATGGTTGGCTGTCTCAGCTACTTGACTGGGCAGATGTAAATACTTTTTTATTGCTAATTGTCAATGTATTTTAATGGCTTCATAGTTTTCATCCAGTTACTTCAACTTTTGACAGGTGTCAACGTCAAATGTGGAAAATTAAAGGAAGAAGATATATATCCGAAAAATACTTATGTTTCTGAAAAATATGATTTTTCAAAATGGAAATTTTTCCATGACCCAACACTAAGTATGTGTCATAATTCGAATAACTACTTTCCTCACTTTTGTATTAAAATTTGTTGATAGATCACTGCGTTATAGATAACTCATTTATTACATGCTGAATAATAAGGGCGGTTGTAAAGTCTGTTCCAATTCAGTTTCAGTAAACAAAAATGTATGGTTAAAATTCTAAAGCAATCACTCAACAAATCGTATAAGTAAGACTTTCACGTTTATTTCGAAGATTTCGACTTGATATCTCATCACTTTTTCCAACAATATTTATTTTAATAGCATCATAAAATTGTATTTGAAAGAGGGTAGTCCAAAAGTGAGGTTATTATTCATCTATGACTTGTCTATGGTTGTATAGTGCTGTACGAAAAAAATATTCGGTTCATTCAATTGAAGTTTTTGTAATCGATTAGTAAATCGAATATTTCTATCGCAATTGAATGACTTAAAATGAAAATTTCGGAAATTTTAAATTTGCTTATAAATGCTATGTAGGGAAAACCGCTAGTATGACTCAACACATCGATTCATTCAATTAGTTAATCGATTTGTAGTTGGCATTACAATTACCATCACTAAACTGTCTATGGTCGGGTCAGTGAATTGTTTGTTTACATTTTGTTGGAAATGGATTGAAACGAAGTATAGCTTAGTACGAGAACGGTTGATTCTAAATGAAGAGAGTCGAAAGTTCGAATCCCTGCGCGACATGTACATAATATGACTTAAATTTGTAAGCAATTCCTCTCGCTGCATCATCATCAACCCATTTATATCTCACTGCTAAATACGGGTCTGCTATCAGGCGAGGGTTTAAACAATAATCCGCCATTTGCCGAGGTTCGTGAATCTTCTTCTTTATCACGGTATTTTCCTTTACCGAAAATTTCTAATTAAATTTCGCACATAGATTCCGAGAAATTCACAGGTGCGAGCCCGGATTCCAACCCACGGCCCCTGCTCGAGAGGCAGTAGACCAAACATTAGACTACCACGGCTTTTAGGGAGTGTCTCTGGCTAAACTTGAAATCCTGGCTAAAAGCAGGCGGTTGTTGTTTAATTAAGATTCCTCTCGCTTACGTTGAAGGAAAACCATCGTGATGTCGGAAACGGTTCAATACCCTTGCCACGACGTCTTAATCCTCTCGGATATTCGTGTCCAGCAGTGGGGCGTATAATGGTAGATGATGACAGTGATGTTACATTCTTGACAATCAATATTTTGCCATTGCAGACTTCCGACTGGTCTTTCCGACAGGCGATGGAATGGCTATATCTTTCCCGGCAAAGCTGCCTTCACGCCGAGAGCACAGTTCCGCGAGAATATTGACCTTGAGTAGAAGTGATAAAGCTGAAGCCAAATTAAGACTGGCCAGGCGATGTGTTTTGGGAGCATTTGCAACTGCACTCATGGGAGATAGATGGTGAGTTGTTTAATAAAACTTAAAAAAATAGTAATTTAACTGAAAAAAAAAAACTTGAAAGTAAATTTAATAAACTAATTCTGTATATATATATATATATATACTATGTTACTTATAAGGATCGGGATCATAAAAATACAGCATGTTTTTTTCACACTTGGTCGGTTCGATTTTTAAAAGCCTTTGAATGCAGTACTTACTTCAGAATAAAATAATGTCGCCATGAAACAACATAACCCATCTACAATATTGAAAGCATTTTCCCTCCATATCCCATTCCCCTATATATAAATATATCAGTAGTATACATAAAGAAAATGCGCAGAAGGATTTAAGAAGGCAAACATTTAAAAGGGACTTGAGTTTGCGTAATTTTAATATAAATAATTTTGGCGCCCAGTAAGGGACCCTCTTCATATCAACTTATCCATAGCATTATACCAATTTACTGACTATCAGACTTATGAAATTGACTTCACAATGTACAATGCCTATTGTACTAGAGAGATAAGCCCCATTGTGCCTAAAGGAATTAAGGTCACCGGGCAGCTAGGCCATTATTAACTCTTTCATACAGTTTGAGTAGCTGAGTACATGTAGTATTCATAGGGTTTAATGAACTTACAACTCGTGCAACGGATTCAAGTTCCTTTCACAACGTTGAACTATATATTTATTATTAACGTAAATTAACTACATTGTAGAACCAGTGATGCACGGTGTAATTTAATAAATTAACCAAATTAGTTTAATGTTTGTCAAACTAACCTAGAGCGATAGCTTGGTATGGACCAGGCAGCTGTTATGGCATTGCTAAAGAATTTTCAGATTGATAAGTTAGTAAGTTGAAAACTATATTTATTACAAGTCTTTGTTGTTGTTAGGTGCAGAGTATAAAGAAGCGTGTATGTACCTGTTATAATTGTTAACTTTACTCATAATAACCAAAACAAAAAAGTATATGGTAGTTTCCTACCCTGCTACAACTCGTACAGGTACTTGTTATACTGTTATTTTAGTCCTCCAGTGTCAAATTAACATGAAAAACATATTTATTCAGACAAAAATAAAGTGGTTTTAGCTCAAAGTAATAACCGGCCATATTACCTTATTTCGAAGTTGGCGCCCAACGTGGGGCTAAATAGCTTGTAAAGTTAGTTTAACAAAACTGTGCATTACAAACCGTGTAAATAAATTAATATGTATGCAACTGGGTGATTAATGACTAAGGAAAATTAAACTTTAGTCATTTCGGTTATTGGCGCCCAGCACAGAGTCCTAAATGAACATTGTTTTTGACAACAATGTCTTTTTGTTTATTTTTTTGTCTCTTTATGAATACAGGGATTTTACCTTATTTTAAAGTTTTCATATAAAGACGATTTAATTAACGTTTCATATGAGAAAAAAAAAACATTATATTATTTATAGTAAATTACGCATTAGCCGCTCACGCGATACATGCAGCCGTAGACGCATACCACACCTAGAGGTGCCGGTAATGATTTTATACCGATTTATAGGATATCGAAGTTATAACAGGTAAAAGAGCTAATATTAATTGCTATTTCGGTAACTACTCTAGCAAAACATAAAGTTTTTAATGCCTGGATCTGTCATTTAAAAAAATAAACAACTTCAAAAATACGTCACGACAATCGTGAGTGTTATTGTTTGGGCTGGTGATTTTGGTGTTTATTTATTGAAAACATACCGTAAGTAGCGTTTTTTAAGTTTACCCTGAATATAAATGTTTATAAACTATACTTTGAGGAGTAATTTAATGGTAAACGTTAGAACCACTCAAACGGAATATTAACATATTTATCCAAATACACCAAAAATTTCATTAGTGCTTTTTAAGTGCAGGATTTGCGGTGTATTACTGCATTTTATTTGAGATATTTTTGTTGGTAGTACGGAGGGTATTTATTTAGCAACGAAGAATAATAGTTTTTATTTATAAAAACTTGTATTTAAACTGAACGCTTTTCTAATTTGCGAAACCAAATAGCCGCCATTTTGCGGTAGGAAGAGCGCATCGCGTGAGCGGTTAGTAGATAAAAACTCACTCAAAATAAAGATTGACTAATGACCACCGAGGGTTCAGAACAGTTTGGATGTAGAGGGCGTTTTATTACTCATTATTGTTTTTATCATCATCGTCAACTTATTATACGTCTCATTGCTGGGTACGGATCTTTCTTAAGGACACGTTATAGAGAGTGCTGAGAACGTGCTCCTCTATGGGCAGCCACTGAAGCCTTCACTTGTATTTAGACAAATGATCGAACTTGCGTAATCCGCATATGTATCTAATGCACAGATTCTGTAAGCGTTGGAGTTTGCTTAAAAGATCCTCATCTTCGTAATGAACCGGAAGCAGCAAACACCATTCTACTAACCTCGGCGATATGAGGTGACCAAGATAGGGTGGAATCGAATAAGACGCCAAAGTTTTTGACCACACTGCTGAAAGACAAAGGGAAGGAGTTGAATAGGAGCGGGGGAATAGTTCTGTTATTAAGTTTGGCAATCTGTTGTGAGCCACCAATGACGATGGCCTGCGACTTGTTAGGATTGACCGTAAGGTCATAGGTCCGAATCCAATCGTGAATAAAGTTAAGTAGAGTAGAGAATTATTGCTATTAAAAATTCACTAATGTACGTGTCACGTACATGCAATCCAGTAATAAAATTTCAATATAAAATCAAAAGGTCGTAACTTGCAATAATAGTATTGAACTTTTAACGATATAGTGACTGGGTAAGGTTTAAATTATATTAACAATCCAGAATTTATTACATCTTTTTAAGTTAGAAACTGTGACCAATCATTATTAAGACTTCCTAGTGTATATCATTTGTTTGTGTTTTTTTTGTTAAGTTTTGGCTTGAATACAATCCTTTGAGCCATGTCTTCGTTTAATTATCGGGATCCTCAATAAATATTTTCCATTGTAGTTCTAGTATGCATTAAGTTTTCACTTTCTTTGAAATAACTTAGTTTTCTTGTTTGGGTACATAAGGTAGTCGGCGGGAGTCAATAATTTTATGTTTTCATTTTCACTTAAATCACACTATTGTGTCCTTAGAATAATAACGCATAGAATGATAGTTTCATATCAAACGAACTGTCACAAGTGAGGCAAAAATCAAATTCATGTAGGCTAGTTTTAGTAGTAGGTTAATTTTCGGTTTTAGTGAATATTTATATAAAAATACAAGTTGAAACGCGTTACTTCCTTGTGGAATGTGATGTTAGTATCTATTTTATGCTTGTGTGACGTATTTTCACACTCATTTACCGCACATTTCGTCATTTTTAGCTAAAATTCTTGATCTGTTCGCGGTGCAAGTTGACCTTGAGCACTGAAGGCCCGCCCGCTCGTGTAGGCCCTTTGGGAGCGCTTTAATTTGCCTCACTTAGCGTGTGCGGGCTAGGTTTCTATGCGTTATTATTCTAAGATTGTGTCTTTGAACAAAAACTTTGAATTCTTAATTAGTAAAATTTTCAGGATAAAATCTTTTGTAATTTGGTTTAAAATAAGGACTATAGTCATTGAGACTATAGTTCTAACTTTCTTCATCACTATTTCTTTCTTTGTATTTTCTTCATAATATACTTAAATTAAAATAATCTTTCAAATTCAAATTCAAATTCAAATTATTTATTTTTCTCAGATAACAGGATCCATTGGTGTTAGTAAAAATAAAGAAAACAAACTTATAGACTATTGTTAGTATGAAATTACAAATTATAAATTACTTAGAAACTAAAATGTCATGTACTTACGAGGCATCTCGTGCGGAATCATTGTCCGTACGAGATGCCTCAATACAGGCGCTCTGTGGTCGTTTGCAACAACTCTCAGAATGCTGTTGTCACTACCCCGGAGCCTACTAACCAAAGATGCTACCTTTCTCCGCAAGACCGCATTAAAGCAGCTTGTATGGGATAGAGCAAACATTGCAGAGGCACTGCAGTACCGGGGTAGTCCCAACATCATCCTGAACACGTTGTTGTACTGGACGCGAAGGGAATTCAGCGACCTTTGTGAACAGCTAAACCACAAGCCGCCCGTGTACAGACCCTGACAATACGCTTTAAAAAGCGTAATTTTTACTTGGTCCGTACAGCGGGCTGCGGGCCAGCATATTCCCGCGGACCGCCAAAGCCCTGCGTTCCCTCTCGACGTCGTCATCATCTTTAAGGTCGTCGGCAAGAATATGTCCAAGGTATTTAAAATGAGAGACCTGTTTTACCCTCATGCCATTTAGCGAAATCGCTGGAAATGACTCTGGACACCTACCGGCGGCCTTGAAGACCATGAACTCGCTTTTTTTAACATTATAAATTAGCCCGTGTGATGCGGCATATACCTCACAGACTGCCAACATCTCCCTAATAGACCTCGCAGTCGGGCCCAGCAGCACCATGTCGTCCGCATAGCTGATGTTGTTCACACAAACATCCCCCACACGACAGCCGACACGCATGCTACTGAGCTCGACTATCAGATCATTAACATACAGGTTAAAAAGCTTTGGAGACGATAATCCCCCCTGTCTCACGCCGCATTCCAACCTGTATGCCTGAGAGAAGCTGTTGGACCACCTAACTTGATTGGTCTGGTTGCTGTACCAATATTGGAATATTTTTAATAGTTCAGCTGGCATTCCCCTGTCCTCCATCTTCCTCCAAAGCACATCATAGGAAACGAGATCGAAGGCTTTGGAGAGGTCCAGAAAACACGCGAACACCGGTGTTTTACGTTCAGTGTAATATTGGACAGTATGCTTGAGAGCCAGAATCGCACTTTCGGTTGAGAGTCCAGGCCGAAACCCGAACTGTGCATCATGGAGATTGAGATATTTTTCTAGGCATGATTCAAGCAAACTATCCAATACTTTACGTATCGTGGTCGCAAGAGAAATTGGGCGATAGTTATTCAAGTCTGAAATGTCACCTGTCCTGTTCTTCACTATGGGCACCACCG